GAGACAGAGTCTCACCTTGTCACCCTCAGTAGAGTGCAATGGTGTCCCAGCTTACAGCAACCTCAAACTCTTGGGCTTAAGTGATTCTCTTGCCTCAGCTTCCCAAGTAGCTGGGACTACAGGTGCCCCCTACAATGCCTGGTTATTTTGTTGTTGTTGTTGTTGTTGTTGTTGCGGTTGTTTAGCTGGCCTGGGCCAGGTTCAAACCTGCCAGCCTTGGTGTATGTGGCCAGAACCCTACCCACTGAGCTACAGGAGCCACTCACGGGTTTGCTCATTTTTATGATTATTTATTTATTTATTCTCCTTGACGACCAGAACCCCAGTCACAGGGGAGATGAAACTCAACACAGATGCACCCAACTCAAAGAGCTGGCCCAGAGGGAGCCACAGAATTGGGGAAGCCCAGAGAAAGAGAATGTGGGTTCTGCTTGGGAGGCCAACGAAAACTTCCCAGAGGGGAAGGAACATTTGGGTTGGGTTTTGAAGCACCAGTAGGAGCTTTCTGGGTTGTACACTGAGAAGGAGCAGTGCAGCTAGAAAGAACAGCATGCACAAAGGCATGGAATCAGGAAGCATATTTGAGGCTCAGTTTGGCCTTGCCACCTCCCCAACTCTACCCCAATCCTTTTCTTCTATTTCTCTCTGCCCTGCCCCTGTGGGTCCAGGTGACATTCACCAAAAGGAAATTTGGACTGATGAAGAAGGCCTATGAGCTGAGTGTGCTCTGTGACTGTGAGATTGCTCTCATCATCTTCAACAGTGCCAACCGCCTCTTCCAGTATGCCAGCACAGACATGGACCGTGTCCTCCTGAAATACACAGAATACAGTGAGCCCCATGAGAGCCGCACCAACACTGACATCCTTGAGGTAGCCCTGGACACTCTTCCCCAGTCCTATGGAGCCCAGAACACTCTGCTCTCTCAGAACCTAGGGACGCTGGGTTTGCATAAAAGATGAGCATTGCAGGCTCAGCGCCTATGACTTAAGAGGCTAAAGTGCCAGCCACATATACCTGAGCTGGTAGGTTCGAATCCAGCCTGGGCCCACCAAGCAACAATGATGGCTGCAACCAAAAAATAGCTGGGTGTTGTGGCAGGTGCCTGTAGTCTCAGCTACTTGGGATGTGGAGGCAAGAGAATCGCTTGAGCCCAGGAGTTGGAGGTTGCTGTGAGCTGTAATGCCACAGCACTCTGGCTTTGTGTTGGTAAAAACAAATTTGGGGTCATGGAGGGCCCCTTCTAGGAACACCAAAAGCATCAGCCACTGTGCATTGAGGGCTGTGTGCCCCTACCATGCATCATCTCATTTAATTCTGTCACCTGTTGGGTGAGTAAGTGATCTTTCCCTCCTATAGGTGGGAGCATGAGGCTTGAAGGAATTCTTGCTACCTATGAAAGTCACATAGTAAATATTTGAAGGAGGCAGAATTTGAACATATGTGTGTCTATCCCCAGAGAGTGTGCTCTTAAATTTCTGCTGTGATAAATGAGGGGGAGAGGAGAGACAGAGAGGAAGAGAGAGATACATGGAAAGACAGAGACAGACAGAGATATATACACACAGAGAGAGAAAAAGACAGAGAAATACACATAGAAGGAGAGAAAGAAACAGAAGAGACTGATAGAGACACACACATACTGAGAGAGGGAGAGACAGAGGCATGTACAGAGAGAAAGAGACAAAGAGAGAAACAGAAACAGAGAATAAAAGGCACCACAAAGGGGCAGCGCCTGTGGCTCATTGGGTAGGGCGCTAGACCCATATACCGAGGGTGGCGAGTTCAAACCCAGCCCCGGCCAAACTGCAACCAAAAAATAGCCAGGCTTTGTGGTGGGCGTCTGTAGTCCCAGCTACTCGGGAGGCTGAGGCAAGAGAATCACCTAAACCCAGGAGTTGGAGGTTGCTGTAAGCTGTAATGCCACAGCACTCTACCAAGGGTGATAAAGTGAGACTCTGTCTCTACAGAAAAAAAAAAAAAAATCACCACAAAGCAAGCAAGCAGACTTCAGTCAGGCCTGAGCATGTTTCTCTCTGAGCCACTGTGTCCTAGGGAGAGAAAGACTGCAGTGGCCCTTTCAGCAGTTGGGCTCAGTCCCTACACCTGCTGCCTAGAGTGGGCAAGATCATTGTCCCTGTACATAAGGATATCTTCACCTACAATGGGGAACTTAAGCCCCAGGGATAGAGAAGTAGAGGGCTAGGACTGCACCCAGGAGCCCCCACAGCTAGGAAAGAAACTGGCAAAGGAGAGGTCAGGGCCCAGGAGTGTGTGGCCTGCTGCCCCAGGGGAAGGCAACTCAGAAAATCTGCTGACATTTATTAAGCAACCACTGCATACCAGGCTCTGAGGCTGCACATGGGGACAGAATGGAGGTCCTCAAGTCATGTTCTGGAGCACCATGACAATGGGCCTGGGCAGTTCTAGGTGGTTCTGAGCTCTTCTTGTGTGAACTGGGCGGGTCATTGGCCTCCCTGGTCCAATGGTAGGAAAGCCCCTTCCTTGCACATAGTTGGAAATTCCTAATGGCAATTCACAGTGTTTTGGCCAATGAAATTTGGCTGGAGCAGGCCATGCCTGCATTCCACCCCAGCCACAGAGCTGGGTAGGGATGGCCTCAACCCTCTTCCATAAATGGGGTACTCTCGCTGGGGTAGGGGGTGAAGGTTCATTGTGTTGTCTCTTATCCCCAGACACTGAAACGGAGGGGTGTGGGCCTTGATGGGCCAGAGCTGGAGCCAGATGAGGGGCCTGAGGGGCCAGGAGAGAAGCTGCGGAGGATGGCAGGTGAAGGGGGTGACCCAGCCTTGCCCCGGCCCCGGTTCTATGTAAGTGATACTCTGCCCCACTGTGAATGGGGCCCTCCCCCACTTCCTAGGCCAGTGGTTCTCAACCTTCCTAATGCCTCCTAATGCTGCGACCCTTTAATACAGTTCATGTTATGGTGACCCCCAACCATAAAATTATTTTCATTGCTATTTCATAACTGTAATTTTACTACTGTTATGAATCATAATGGAAATATCTGATATGCAGGATGTATTTTCATTGTTACAAAGGGGTCGCAACCCACAGGTTGAGAACTGCTGTAGGCCCAAGTAGTTGAGGCTATTACTAAGAGAGCGACCTTCCCTCAATGAATCCTGAACAATTAAAAAAAAAAAAAGGACGACCTTAGAGCCAGGGAATCTGAAATTTGGAGGCAGGTCTCCACCTGGTTCAGTAGCCAAAGGTTGCTTGAAGAACATACACTATGACTGGGGCTTTGAAGGATAAATTCAAGTTCAACAGAAAACAGTTTCTTCCTTAATTCTTTGATCAAACACCCCAGACAGCCCCCTCAGTGCCAACCCTATGCTGAATGAAATGCCTCAGCTCTGGACCTATCTGTCTTGGATAGACAGCCAGATACAGCCTCCCCAGCTTGTGGGGTTAGGCCAGAGGGAGGAGGAGATAGGAAACCCAGAGGCAGGAGCAGGGAGGCTTGAAAGAAGGTAGAAACTGGTCCCTGAACTCATCCGAAGTTTCTTTTTCATACTTGACACCCCCATCTGTACTGTCCTCCTATCCATCCACCTCTCTGCCCACAGCCAGCAGCCCCTGCCATGCCCAGCCCAGACATGGTGTATGGGGCCTTGCCCCCACCAGGCTGCGACTCCAGTGGGCTAGGGGAGGCCTTGCCCGCCCAGAGCCGCCCTTCTCCCTTCCGCCCAGCAGCCCCCAAAACTGGGGCCCCAGGTGAGCATGGGGCAAAGACCCTGGTGGGGGGCAGTGGTAGGGGTACCAGGGGGTCATTTGGGTGGATTTTGGCTCTGGCACTGCATGCTGCATGCATCACCTCTAAACCGCACACTTCGTTAGCTTACATGGTCTGCATGCCCTCTCCTTGAGGGTCTCCCCCTCCCCAGGCCTGGCACACCCTCTGTTCTCCCCAAGTCACCTCAGCAAGACACCACCCCCCCTGTACCTGGCAGCAGATGGGCGAAGGCCAGACCTGCCTGGCAGCTTGACTGGGGCCCGAGGGGGACTGAGTTCTGCGGTAAGTGAGGAAGGGGAGGGTGTGGTGGGGCTGATGGGGACAGGTAGGGTGGCCGGTGGGAGTGTGGGCTTCAGTTTCCCCTTCACCCTCTCTCTCCACAGAGAAACCTCTATAGTAGCCTGCAGAGCCCTTGCTCCGCTGCAGCCCCAGGAACCCCTCTGGGGAACTTCCCTTTCCTCCCTGCAGGTCCCCCAGGTACGCCCCCCACCCACCCTTCCTGGGAAACTGGGACATGTCCACACAAATGCCGGCTGGGGGGATCCATACTCTTCTACCCACAAGAACTAAAAACTGGCCCGTGGGGTGGGGTCAGGGCCTCAACCCACCCTTCCTCCCCACTAGAATACAGCCTGGGAGACCCTCCGCCGCCTCCTGGCTTATTGCAGACCCCCAACCTGGCCCCATGGCAGTCCTCTAGGGGAGACGGGCCCCCTGCCGCCCCCGCTCCGCCTAGGTAAGTGCCCTGCAGTCCCACCTGCGAAGGAGCTCCAGATCCTCCCAAGCCCCAGCCACTGCTGACCCCTGGTGGCCATCAGCGGTACTGCGCAACCCCCCTCCCGACGGTTCCTGGTGCCGATGGGTGGCTATTTTGGAGGCCCCAAGAGGGACCGCCACCCCCTCCTTTCCCAGGGTCCTCCTGCCGAGGCTCTACCCACGCGGTACTACCTCCCTGACTTCCTTTCTTTCCTCGCTGAGTTCACAACTCCCTTTCTCTCTCTTCCCCTGCAGTGGGGTCCGCAGTCTGGGCGAGGAGGGCCCCCCCACTCGCGACGCCTCCCCGCTGACCGCTCCAGTCAGCATCAAGTCCGAGCGCCTCTCTCCAGCCCCTGGGGTCCTCGGCGACTTTCCCAAGACCTTCCCCTACCCACTGCTCCTCGCCCGGTCCCTCGCAGAGCCCTTGAGACCCGGGCCTTCCCTGCGCCGGCTGCCCTTGACCGACAGCTGGCCCCGGTAGTGGACACCAGGGTGGCACCGACGCAGCCCTCTCACCGGGCAGGGCGAGAGAAGATGGGGACCCTTTGATTCTTTTCCTAAAAGACCCAACAGCGACCGCCCCTCCTACGTGGGGGCCTGGAGGGGGGTGGCTGGATTCGGATTCACCCTGGGAGGGTGTCTCCTTTCCTCCTTTCTGAGTGTGTATCCATCAATAAAATATGCGTGGCGTCTGTGGATGATACTGTTGCTTCTGTTCAGAGCGCCCCTTCCATCTCCCCACCTCCTCCCTAGCAGCCTTATTCTTGCCTTGTGTTGGTTTGGGGTGCCCACTCCAGCCAATGGTGTGTCAGGAGGAAGGCCAGGGGAGAAGCCCTACAGGGGGCGCCATCGAGTAGGCGACGTAGCTGAGATAGACCAGACCGACAGTGGCTCCTCTCCAGGGATGAGGGACTGGGCTATTCACCCTCCAACTCTCCACAGTCCCTGGCCAGGGCTGCCTCTGGGGATGTCCCATTGCGGACTCACGGGTAGGTCCCCAGGCTGTGTTGCAATTGATCACAGCAAGAAGCAGCTGGAAATTGTGATTGGCCAGTTGCCTGTGCACTCTCAGTGTGCTGCTCATTTATCTTTTAAAAGGGCCTCTCTTCAATCCCTTGACCCAGCAATTTCATTCCTCCCAAGAGACAAGGGAGAAGGGCATTTATATGCTCGCTCTACTTGAGCCAGTCTGTAAGGGCAGACTTTGGTGTCCAAGAGACAGGGGAGCTCTCAGCAAATAGTCAAGGTGCAGTAGCATCCACCACCTTGGGATGGTCTCAGTGGGATATTTTTGGAGAAGGGATCTTGCTATGTTGCCCAGGCTAATCTGGAACTCCTGGGCTCAAGCAATCCTCCTGCACCCACCCCTCAGCTCCCTGTAGCTAGAAATACAGGCACATGCATCCTGGCTTTCAGTGTGATCTTTATAACACTCAAGATCTGGCTTCTGTCTTGCCCTGACCCTCATTTTTTGGAGGAATCTGAGCCCCTTAGCTCCCCCCCCACTCTGTCATATCCTCTGCCCATCCTCCCCCATCCCTGTCTCCCCCTTGCCAGCTCCCAGAAATGCCAAATGTTGGTCCTTCCTCCTGACCTACCTCTCTCAACCTTCAACTTGTCTCCTATTTAAAGTCCTTCTCATTTCCCACCCTCCAAGGCCCAGATCCACATTTCCCACCCTCCAAGGCCCAGATCCACGTCCCCTCCTCAGTGGCCGGGGGGGGGGTGATTGGAGATCACAGATTTGGACAAGAAGATGTAAAATGTGAGTGTTGGCATCAAGGTTTATAAGATTTGACTCTACACCAGGCATAGTTGGTGGCTCATGCCTATAATCCCAGCAATTTGGTAGGCCAAGGTGCGCAAAAACCCTCTCCCTGCCCTCTCATGCCAGGGGCCTGGGGGGCTGCAGGGAGCCAGTATCTGCAGGTGTGGTTACTCCATAGGTGTATTTGGAGGCTCCAAGGTGGGAGTAAAGGGGAGAGGTTGCTGTGAGTGACAGGAAGCCCTGACCTGGTAGAGACCATGTGGGAGGCACCTCCCGCTCTGGGGAAACCTACAGAGAATGAGGCCAGAACAGGGGTAAATCAATATCTCTGTAGAGTGTCTAACTTGGGCAGGAGATTTCTCTCACCCAACTCAGATTGTGCTGTTATATCCTCTCCACCTGGCCCCTCCCCTACTCAGGAGGGGTGAGTCACTGTCCCCACTCCAGTGATGGACTCCAGAGGCCTAAGTGAGTAAGCAGTTCTGTTGCCACATGCATTGCACCAATGCACAGGTGTAAAACTCCCCACCTGGGTTACCTCCCCTTCTCAGAATCCCTCCATGAGGACCCCATCCACGTGGGGGGGAAGAACTACCCACCTATGAACACCCTTTCCCCCATGGTGTCAGACTCAGCCTCCACACAGACACAAGAACCAGGACTGAGGAGGAGAAAGGCCAAGGCTGAGGTACCCTAGGGGAAACTGAGGCACAGAAGGTAAGAACTCATTCCCAGCCTCTGGATTTTACCGCCTGAAACTGGGCCTGGCTGGGCCTGTAATCCTAGCACTTGGGAGGCTGAGGCGGGTGGATTGCTGGAGCTCATGAGTTCAAGATCAGCCTGGGCCAGAACAAGACCTTGTTTCTAAAAAATAGCCAGGTGTTGTGGTGGGCACCTGTAGTCCCAACTACTTAGGAGGCTAAGTCAGGAGGATCACTTGAGCTTAAGAGTTTGAGGTTGCTGTGAGCTATGATGCTACAGCACTCTTCCCAGGGTGACTAAGTGAGACTCTGTCTCAACAAAAGAAAAAAAGAAACTGTGCCAGTCTGTGAAATCAGTGCCCACAGGTTAAGCACCCAGTGTGAAGTTCATTAAAATGTGAGCTGGCTCTGCACCTATGGTTCAAGTGGCCAAGGCACCAGCCACATACACCTAAGGTGGTAGGTTCGAATCCAGCCTGGACCACCAAACAACAATGACGGCTGCAACCAAAACATAGCCGGGCGTTGTGGCGGGCACCTGTGGTCCCAGCCACTTGGGAGGCTGAGGCAGGAGACTCGCTTGAGCCCAGGAGTTGGAGGTTGCTGTGAGCTGTGATACCATAGCACTCTACCCAGGGGGAAAGCTTGAGGCTCTGTCTCAAAAAAAAAAAAAAAAGTGACCTGATGGGGTGGCGACTGTGTCTCAGCGGGTAGGGTGCTGGCCCCATATACTGATGGTGGCGGGTTCAAACCTGGTCCTGGCCAACTACAAAACAGCAATGAGAATTGCTACAAAAAATAGCTGGGCATTGAGGTAGGCACCTATAGTCCCTGCTACTTGGGAGGTTGAGGCAATAGAATTGCTTAAGCCCTAAGAGTTGGAGGTTGCTGTGAGCTGTGACACCACAGCACTCTACCGAGGGCAACAAAGTGAGGCTCTGTCTCAAAAAATAAATAAATAAATACAATTAAATTTTTTAAAAAGTGAGCTGATGGCTGGGTGCAGTGGCTCACACCTGTAATCTCAGCACTTGGGAGGCTGAGGAGGTGGGTGGATTGCCTGAGCTCACAGGTTTCAGACCAGCCTGAGCAGGAGCAAGACCTGGTCTCTAAAAATAGCTGGGCATTGTGGCAGTGCCTGTAGTCCTCACTACTTGGGAGGCTGAGGCAAGAGAATTGCTTAAGCTCAGGAGTTTGAGGTTGCTATGAGCTATAACGCCACAGCACTCTACCAAGAGTGACAAAGTGAGACTTTTTTTTTTAATTTTCTTTTTTATTTTTGCTTTCAATTTCTGCTGGCTTTTACTTCATCTTAGTTTGAAGGTTTTATTTATTTTTATTTTTTTTTAACTTCTTCCTCCTGTAGTGATTCTCTTGCCTCCTCCTCCCTGCCATGTAGCTGGGATCACAAGGTCTGGCTGTTTTTTTGTTGTTGTTGTAGAGACGGGGTCTCACTCTGGCTCACTGCCTCATGCTGATCTTCCGCAGGTCTCGAACTCAGCTGAGCTCAGATGATCCACCTGTCTTGGCCTCCCACAGTGTTGGAACAACAGGCATGAGCCACCATGCCTGTCACAAAGTGAGACTTTGTCTCAAAAAAGAAAAAAATGTGAGCTGCTGGCTCCATGCCTGTGGCTCAAGTGGTAAGGCGCCAGCCACATACACCTGAGCTGGCAGGTTCGAATCCAGCCCGGGCCGCCAAACAACGACAGCTGCAA